GAAACTGAGGCCCAGAAAGGGGAGTGGGCATTGGAGGGGCGCCTCCACGTGGGTCGGGGAGGCGGGGCACCGCCGGCTGCCGGAGCTCCTCATTGGCTGCAGCCTGCGCGTCCCCAGTGGTTGCCATGGAGACACCTCCTTAAGGGCCCACGATCAGAACCTGACCAATCCACAGACATGCGCGGTGAGTGAGGGAGGGCTGGGGCTCCCGTAGTTGCCATGGAGACGGACTTCTCCCGGCCTTCCCACGGTTGCCCTGGAGAAGGAGACGCCAAGTTTAACTCACAGTTAGCAAACGCTTCACCGAGAAGGGGAGGGGGAGTGAGCCGGAGGCGCAAGCGCAGTGGCAATTCTGCGTGCTCCCCCACGCTCTGAGGCGGCTGCGTTGGAGAAGAAGAAGAACCAATCACAGGTGAGGATCTGCTTTAGGCCCGCCCCTCGCGCTGCCCTCTCGTCCCCACGCCGAAATCAACCAATCAGGAGATGACATGACTCTCGTACAGAATGAAGGCGTGGTCCGGTGACGTCACCCACTGATCCGCCTCCCTCCACCCTCCCCTCTCAGCCCCTCCCCCTTATAACTTCACCCCCTGCAGGAAGGGCTCTTAGAGATCCCTGTGATCCACACCCCCCGCCCCCGCAGCCTCTACCCCGCCCTTTTGACAGGCTGGGAAATTGAGTCCCAAAGAGTATTGGAGACACGCCCAGGGTTACCCCGCGAGGCCAGCGGCCTGACTGACCGCCTTCGGACCTGCGCACAGAGCAGGTGAGCGATCCTCCAGGGGTCTCCCGGGGGACCAAGCTTGGAGAGTCCTGAGCGCCCCACCCTGAGCCCCGAGGGGGGAGGGGGGATGGGAGATACTTGGGAGAGCTGGGAGGTGCTTAGAGATCCCTGGATGGAGAGAGAGCCTGGAGGTGCTTAGAGATCCCAGGGTGGAGAGAGAACCTGGAGGTGCTCAGAGATCCCTGGGTGGAGAGAGAGCTGGGAGGTGCTTAGAGATCCCTGGATGGAGGGAGAGCTGGTAGATGCTTCGAGATCCCAGGATGGAGAGAGCTGGGGAGGTGCCTAGAGATCCCTGGATGGAGAGAGCGCTGGGAGGTGCTTAGAGATCCCTGGATGAAGAGAGAGCTGGGAGGTGCTTAGAGATCCCTGGATGGAGAGAGAACCTGGAGGTCCTTAGAGATCCCAGGATGGAGAGAGAGCTGGGAGGTGCTTAGAGATCCCTGGATGGAGAGAGAGCCGGGAGGTGCTTAGAGGTCCCTGGATGGAGAGAGAGCCGGGAGGTGCTTAGAGATCCCTGGATGGAGGGAGAGCTGGGAGGTCCCAGAATGCACCTCACCTATCCCACCTCCCTTTTTTCAGGGTAAACCCCTCCAGGCAGGGCTCAGCCCTGCCCTCCTCCCTCCCCTCCCCACGCTTTCTTCCCCCTTACTTTACAGCTGTTGCCTCTGACACAAAGAAGAGCAGGGGCCCTTTTAGCCGGGACTTTCCCCAGCTGAAGCCAGAGGATGGCCCCCAGGATGGCCAGGGACCCGGAGCCAGGCGGTCTGCATGCCCCCTGAGGGTCCTAGGGCCAGTGAGCCCCGAGGAGACAGGTGCAGGGAGCCATCTGTTCTCTGTCTGGGGGAATCATTCATTGGATGTAGCCCCAGAGGGCCCAGCCCAGAGCAGTGGGTGAGGGGCCCTCCCAAGGCACAGACCTCCACCGAAGCCATCCCAGCATGGAGCACAGGCCTCAGGAGGTAGTGGCTTCCATGACCCTGCCAAGGGGCCCCTGTGCTGCATGAAGCAGTACCTGCGATGCCCGCTATGGGCCGTCCCAGCCTGGGCATTCTCTACCTCTGTGGACATTGTGCCTCGTCATGGGGCCATATCTCATTTCATCCCTCCATGGAACCAGGGCATAATGAGCACTTGTTAATCCACTCAATGGTTGGCCTGGAGGGTTGAGGACTCCAAGGAGCCCCGCCTTCCTTCCTCTCCGTGCCAGAGCCCCTCCCCGCCCCCCCCCCACATTGCCAAAGGGGCTCTGGGCCTCAAGGGCCCTCGAGGGCAGCCTGGGGCCTCCCCCAAGGAGTTGGGTTCACTAGGCCCTTGCAGTACTGGTTCTCTTGAATGGGATCTGAGTCTCTGGCAGAAAGAGCTGAAAGCCTCGGAATGGGACCAGAGACAGCCCCCTAAAAGGGAAGGGGAGATGCTGTCTGTCATCTCTAGGCCAGTGGGCTTGACTTTGATTCCTGGGGAATTTCTGCAATGTATTATTAGAGGGATCGTAGGTGACCCTGACCCTTGAGACAGGGAAACCATGATCAGGAAGAGCAGGTGTGGCTTCCTCAGCATCACTCACACCAGACCGACCTCCCCTCCTTCCTTCCTAGGGCCGAGGGCCCACCGGAGGTCAGGGCAAGGCCGCTGGCAGTGCCCCCTCCAAGGTCTCATTCCATCTGCCATGGACACGTACAGTCTAGATGGCAGGACAGTTCCTCAGACTCAGGCCCAGCCCAAAGAGCAGACTGGTGGAGGGTCCTAAGGGGCTAGGAGGCCCCGCTAACGTGCTTGGCAGATTTGCCATCGACACAAAGCTGGGCAGGGAACTGCCCACACACACACACACACACACACACACACACACACACGATGCTGACCTCAGCAGGGGGCCAAACCTGTTCCCCTGACATTTCAGAGACATACATGTAAATCTCATAGCTGGATTAAAAAAATCAGCTTTGTGTGTACAAAATAGGAGAGGCCTGACCAGCAGCGGCCCTTCCTATGAAAAATATCTGGGGTTTGAATGACCCAGAAACTCGGCTTGAGCCAGGAGATACAGTGGTGAGAAGGGTCATTGGGCCACATGAAGAGGGCAGTGGTGTCTGGGGCTGGGGAGGTGAGGATCCCTGTTCAGACCATGGGAGGATGAGGGAGCTCCGATCTAGGCTCCCTGTTCTAGGAGGGATGTGGGTGAGAGGGCAGTGGCGTCTGGGGCTGGGGAGGTGAGGATCCCTGCTCAGACCATGGGAGGATGAGGGAGCTCCGATCTAGGCTCCCTGTTCTAGGAGGGATATGGGTGAGAGGGCAGTGGCCAGTCAGAGGCCACCAAGATGGCGGAGGGCTTCCGGGTCACATGATTGAGAAGCCAGGAAGCCAAGGGAGAGGACAGCTGCCTTAAGCGGCGTGGCGTCACGACTGTGGGAGAGCACCCAGCTCCTTCTGCTTGGCCCCAGAGCCCAGAAGGAGGCGGCGGCTCTGTCCCTGGAAAGCAGGACACTGGACAGAGTCCCTGAATAATCATCCCAGCCAGGATGGAGCAGCAGGCAGGCAGCCCCTCTAGACACCCTCATCTGCTCACACTCAGACGTGAACTTAGGGCTTCAACACGGGCCTGTGGCTCGGGAGAACACAGAGCTCAGGGCCTGGAGTCCGGAAGATCTAGAACCAAATCTGGCCTCAGACACTGCGGGGTTATCACCACTGTCTGCCTTAGTTTCCCCGTCTGTAAAATGAGGTTAAACATAGCACCTCCCTCCCAAGGTTGTGAGGATCAAATGTGATCACATTTGTAGAGTGCTTAGCACCGTGCCTGGCACATAGTAGGCGCTCTATTAATGTGCATCCAGCTTTGACACACGACTTCTGTCGGTAGGTCTCTGTGGTCCAGGGACCCCTTTATCTGGGTCCTTCTTTGTTTCAAGGTCCTTCCCTGCCCGACATCCGTGTCCTGCATCTGAGGGCGTCTGCCCTGCTGTCCTGTGCTCTGTTCTAAGGTCCCTTCCCTGTTCTCAGGTCCCTTTAAGCTCTGATGGTTTATGTTCCATGGGCTCGGGCCCTCCCAGCTTTGCCATTCCATACTCAGAGCCCCTCCCAGCTTCTTAAATTGTGGGTGGAAAGCCCCTGGGGTCGCAACCACAGAAGGGGTCGTGGGGCAAGTTTGAGTCCAGGTTCTCAGGTGCTCCGTGATTCCCTAATTTCTGGCTTGCTTCCAACGCCCTCCCTCCTTCATTCGTAGAGAAGGGAAGCAACTTCTTCAGTCAGACAGCTACCGGGTTTGAACCAATCTCCTGGCCACGAGCTAGAAAGCAGTGACTTGGCCAAGGTCACATAGCTAGTAAGTGTCAAAGGCAGGGTTTGAACGCAGGTCCCTCCTGCCACTGAGTAGGGCATCCTTCCTTTACACCAAAGGAGGGGATCCCAAGAGCGTGTAAGGCAAAGTCATGGAGGCGGGCACAGGGTATATATACTGGCGATGACAAGTCACCCCATTTGCCTGGAGCCCGCATTACATCTGGGGAGTAGCCTGAGGTAAGACTGAACATTAGCAGCTGTGCAAAGTGCAAAGGAAGCTGTAAAAAGCATAAGGCAAAATTTGGGTGGACGCTTCCCCGAGGGCCAGGAGCCGCTTTGCAAAGAATTAAGAATAGGGTTCCAGAATGGGCTAGACTGAGTCAGGACAAATTCTTCACAACTGACAGGCATTCAGCTAAGAACCAGCAATCCAAAGACAAGTGAAAGAGGCGTCTTACGCTTGGCCTCCCTCCGGGTAAAATCAGGGCTGGACTGAATGACCCCTGAAGGGCCCTTCCAGCCATTTCCTCTGGTGTGTCTCTTCCGGGGGCTTCTCATTCACTCCCCCATTGTCCTGAGACCCTCTTTGAATGCAGCTCTCAAAGCTCATCTCTTCCCACAGGCACTGCCTTTCTAATCACTATGCAAAGAGCCAGAGAAGGTTAGGCTGGCAGGGGTTTCAGAGATATTTCAGAGAAGATTGTCCATAGATTGTTAGTGGCAGAGCTAACTCGATAACCCCGTTCCTCCAAGAGATGCTTTTGTGACATTTCTCTTTTCATCCTCATTCAGCCCAGAAGACTAATATGGAGGCACATGCATCTTCTCCAAAGCCCAGCTTTTCTGAAGACGAATCCCAGGAAGTCATCTCGGAAAGACCAGCAAGCCATGTCCTCTGGGACCCCAAGTGTGCGGACGTCTGCACCACCTTAGAAAGTCAGAAGGGAGACCTGTTATTTCAAACTCAGGAGGAATCTGTCTCCTGGGAGAGAAAAGGTTTCAGACAATTAACAGCCAATCAAACAAAAGCCCTTAAGGAGGAGAGAGGCCAACAATACAATGAATTTGGAAGGAGCTTAAATCTGAGCTCAGACCTTGGTTCACCTCTCAGCACAGACCCTACAGGAGAGAGACTCCATCAATGTGAAACATGTGCAGAAAGCTCTGGGCAGATTTCAGACTTGCTTAAACATCAGGTAATCCATGCTGCAGAGAAACCCCATGAATGCACCGAGTGTGGGAAGGCCTTCGGTCACCGCTCCAACCTTATTCGACACCAGAGAATCCATACGGGAAACAGACCCTATGAGTGTAGTGAATGTGGGAAACTCTTCAGTCACAGCTCATCCCTTATCCAGCACCAGATAATCCATACCGGGGAGAAACCTTACAAGTGTAAAGATTGTGGCAAAGCCTTCAGCCGGAGCGCCTATCTGACCGAACACCAGCGAATTCATATTGGAGAGAAGCCCTTCGAATGTGGTGCCTGTGGGAAAGCCTTTGGCCGGAGCACATACCTCGCCCAGCATCAGAGAGTTCACATCAGGGAGAAGCCCTACGAATGTGGGCAGTGTGGGAAAACCTTCAGCCACCAATCAGCCATCGCCCAACACCAGATCATTCACACGGGAGAGAAACCGTATGAATGTATCGAGTGTGGGAAAGCCTTTGGCCGGAGTGCATACCTTAGTCAACATCAGAAGATCCACATCGGGGAGAAGCCCTACGAATGTGGGCAGTGTGGGAAAACCTTCAGCCACCGATCAGCCATCGCCCAACACCACATCATTCACACGGGAGAGAAACCGTATGAGTGTGGCGTTTGTGGGGAAGCCTTCAGCCGAAGCGCCCACCTCACTCGCCACCAAAGGACTCACACCAGAGAAAGGCCCTATGAATGCGCCGAGTGCGGGAAGGCCTTCAGTCACAGCTCCACCCTCATTCAGCACCAGATAATCCACACCGGGGAGAAGCCCTATGAGTGTAATGCCTGCGGAGAAGCCTTCAGCCGCAGCGCCCACCTCACTCGCCACCAAAGGACTCACACTAGAGAGAAACCCTACGAATGTGCCGAGTGTGGGAAGGCCTTCAGCCACAGCTCCACCCTCGTCGAGCACCAGTTCATTCACACTGGAGAGAAGCCGCATAAGTGTCACGAATGTGGGAAGGCTTTCAGCCGCAGCACTTATCTTACTCACCACCAGAGAATCCACACTGGAGAGAAGCCCTATGATTGTAGAGAGTGTGGGAAAGCCTTCCGTCTGCGCTCAACCCTTACTCAGCATCAAATCATCCACACTGGAGAGAAGCCCTACGAATGCGATGAATGCGGGAAGGCCTTCAGCCAGTTCTCCACCCTCGTCCGGCACCAGAGGACCCATTCTGGAGAGAAAGCCTAGCGTTGTCGTAGAGCCGGAAGAGCTGTGAGCTGAGCAGGAGCCGGGGGTCTTCCGGTCCCCGTATGCTGTCAGATCAGTCAGCTGCCTCACGCCTCAGTGCCTTCATCTGCAAAATGGGAGACTTAAACTAGATGAACACCACGCCAGCCGTTGGGGTCTCAGGTTAGTCCCTCCCCTTCTTGGTACCTGGCTTTCTTCCACTGTAGAATTAAGACGAGGTGATGGCCAAGATCCCCTTCCGTCCCCTCGTTAATTCTGTGGTAACTCTGCAGTGCAGTGATGTTGTCCATTCGTTCCTTTCCATTTGTCAGAGGTCTGTAGCGCACTGGGCTAGGGGCTTCAACCAGGAGAAACCCAGGACTTAGTGAAGAGAGAATTGGAGTTCTAATCAAGACCTGAATTCAAATCCCACTTCCAACATTTACTATTCAACCCAATTCAACCAACATTTGTTAAACACCTACTGTGTGCCCGGCACTGAGCTAGGCTGTTGTAGACACAAGGACCGAAATGAAACAATCCCTTCCATTCTGACACCGGGATCAGGAAATGCAAAGAAGCACGAAGGACTGAGTAACGCGACTGGGGCCTCAGCTCCCTCATCTACAACGTGGGGAGGATAATGCCCCATAAGGTTCAGAGGGCAGAAGGTCTGTAAGACACACCGCCTCCCTTAAAGCTGGACACGGAGGGCGGTTACTCTGGTCTCGTCTTATTGCCGCGCTTATGAAGTGTCGCTGGGGCAGACTGGAATAAGAACTCATTTACGCGGTGCTTGAAGGGTCACAACTCTGTGAAGCATTACTGTGAGAGTGAAGCATTATGTTCATCCCCATTTTACAGATGAGGAGATTGATGCACAGAGAAGTCAGGACTTGCTCCAGGTCACAAAACAAGAAAGTGTCAGAGCCTGAATTTGCCCCACACTTCCCAACCCCCACAGAAAGGCAGCTAGGTGTCCAAGGGCATAGAGTTGGGCCCGAAGTCATGAAGTCCTGAGTTCAAGTGCAGCCTCAGACACTTGCTAGCTGTATGATTGTGGGCAAGTCACTTAACTGTTGCCTGCCTCAGTTTCCTCAACTGTAAAATGGGCGTAAGAACAGCATCTACCTCCCAGGACCATTGTAAAGATCAAATGAGAAAATATTGGGGCAAATAGGTGGCACAGTGGGTAGAGCTCCAGCCTTGGAGTCAGAAGGATCTGAGTTCAAATCCGGCCTCAGACACTTGACACTTGTGACCCTGGGCAAGTCACTTAAACCCAATTGCCTCACCAAAAAGAAAAGAAAAAAAAGAAAAAAAGAGAAAACATTTGTAAAGCACTTAGCAAGTGCCTGGAAAACAGTAGGTATTTAACAAATGGTCCTTGTCTCCCTCCCTCCCTTTCTTCCTCCCTTCCTCCCTCCTTTCCTTCCTCCCTTCCTCACCTCCTTTCCTCCCTCCCTTTCTCTCTCCCTCCTTCCTTTCCTTCCTCCCTTCCTCCCTCCCTTCCTTTCCTCCTTTCCTCCCTTCTTCCCTCCCTTCCTTTCTCTCTCCCTCCTTC